AAACAACAGGAGTCAATGATTTCGCTTCATCTATTCTCGTCCGATTAATCGAAACAATTGCATGATATGGAAATCTTGATACAATTCGAAACAAAGAAAACAACAACGAGAACATCAAAGCCTGTTAAACCATCTTGAAATAAATGTGGAAACCTCGGATTTAAATCCGAGAGTTATGTGTACTTCAAAAAGTGAATGAGACAGATGAGTCGTTCTAGAACGTGTGGACATCAAAATTATACTGGGGAACCTACCCTCTAAACTGTTGATTTCTATTGAGTATTGCCAAACCAATAGGACTTGGGACCGAATACAGCTCAAATTTGAACTCTTCCCCTTGATTTACCCTAAGAAAGTCGTTTTTCCTATAACTTGATTTCTATTGGTCACTGCTCAACCAATAGTATTTCGATGGAAGTGGAATACAGATTCGAGTTCTCCATCTCAGAAAACCTCGAAGTATCATCACTGTGATCGGAAGATAGAGCTCTATTTGTGGATCAATTAGATCGTGGACAAAAATATAACCTAGTTCTCTTTAATTATCTTTGTGATAGATGAGCCAACCGTCTTGTTTCTTTATGTTTAATATACCATTTTGTAGCTCGTGAAATTCTCTATTGAATGGTATATAATAGTTGGGGTTTTAGTTGACTATGATAGGAAAAGTCTTTTACGAAAGTGGGGATAGGTCGATCTTTCCATAGGGAAGGTGCAGGGAAAAATGAGTATTTTTGCAATAACTCAGGAAGGACTCGGCCAATCCTTCTCATCTTCGAACTCGACCGAGATATTGTTAAGACTGAACTGTGTAGAAAATTTCATCGCGATCTGACTCTCCTTTCAAAAGTTATCGTGTTAACGGCCGGACGGCCGGACACACTGACCGATTCTAGAGTGTACTCACTTTTGAGTACACAAAAATGACAATACCTGACATGTAAGTAAGTGATCTTCAATTAAATCAAAAAAGAACAATGAGAATAAGAATTAAGACAAAAGAATAAGGAAAAAATAGTTTCATGTGTATGATTGAATAGAAAGTTTTTCAAGTTTAAAATAGTGAATAGATTTGAGTCGTTTTTCAATAAGACGAGCATGTTGTTCGATTATTTCAATCATTTTTGTAGTTAATTTTTGTTCATCTGGAAGTAAATATTGTTCTTCTCTAATTTTTTTCATTTTATCATTATATCCATTTTGATAACGGATCTTTTGAGTTCTAGCTGACTGTGTGTAGAGATTAAGCATATCTTCCTTTGTTTGTTCAATAATTTGTTTATAATGTGAATAGAATTGTTGTTGAACATTGGCGTTACCAATCGAATCAAATAAAGGAACGCGAGCAATAGGTAAACGTTCAAGATTGTATGAATCATTATAATGAATAAGTTGTTTATCGAGAAGTTCGGATGTATATTTGCTCAGTATTTCTTGTTGTTTAACAGTACAGAGTTCTTCTGCTAATTTTATCTAGTAGGAGAAACAGAAACAACTAAGATACTTTGTTTGAAACAGAATTTTTCTTTAACTTACTTGAGCATCATTCGGATTCTGTTTAAGATACTCGTGTTTTATGATTTCTTCTTCATAGTCAAAGTAAACCAGTTGTATTTTATGCTGAATTTTCTTTCGTAGACTAAGAAGATTTTCTTCGATAAATGTATCTATTGCTGGTTGAATGATGGTTGAATAATGAGATAAATGATTCAATTGAACTTGTAGATCAGCATGACATTCTTGTTTAGATTTATCTAATTGGACAAGACGATTCTTCACATAGGTCAAACATGCATCATGCTTTTCGAGACCTGAACGAACAGCCATTTTGACCATCGACTGAACAGACTTTACCCATACATGTGGACCTAATTCATTTCGAGAAAAATCGGACTTTAATTGACCTAAGCCGGATTGTAAATACACTTTCCAAAGAGAATATAAAATCTCTATGTACTTGATTCGATGAATCAAAATAGCTATTTGTCGATATTTTTCTAAGTTGTCGGATGATGATGCTACCGCTGTCATTGTGTTGGTAGATAAGATTGAATTAATCATTTTTTCAAATGATTTATTACT